TAAATTTAAACAAACTGGTTTCTCTCAGCGATTGGCTGAACAACAAGTAGCACTAAGTGGACTTGTAGACTCTAAAGTTTTAGATTGTTTTGTTTTTGAGTGCAGTTATGTAACCAAGAAAACTACATTTGTAAGTTGCACTTTCATGATAAAGAGATTGCACTACAGTACTTGTATGAGGTGAATTGAAAAATACTATTTCTTTTGTTTGTCATTTTTACAGTGCAAGTATTTGTAATAAAAAATAATATAAAGTGAGCACTGTACAGTTTGTATTCTGTGTTGTAATTTAAATAGATATATTTGAAAATGTAGAAAGACATCCAAAAATATTTAATACATTTCCGTTGGTATTCTATTGTTTAACAGTGTGATTAATCGTGATTAATTTTTTAAATCGCGATTAATTTTTTGTTTAGTTAAATGCATAAGTTAACTGCGATTAATCAAAGTCCTATACAAAACACAAACTGCCTTGGTTTGCTCACCACAGAAATGAGATGAAATAGAAACCTTTAATCCAAACTCTGTACGCAACCTCTGAAACTTTGGTGGTTCAGATAAGTGCTTAAAAACTAGTGAAGACAGATGAAACACGGGGGTGCAACAAACAGCTGGAAGGAACGTGGAGAGTGGATAAAATCATGAGAATGTGTTTGTATAGCCCATGTATGTGCACACCAACATGGTTTCAAGTTGATTATTTTTCTTTTTAAATAATAAACGAAACAGAAAATAAGTATCAGAAGTCTGTACCTAATTGTTAACAGCTCGCAATTTCCTGTAGACATCATAGTAGAATTTAATCTTAAGGAGAAAAGAGTAGAGGCTTTTATGTACTACTGCATGGGCTGAAATTCTGGTCCCATTGAAGTCAATGTGAGTTTTATCTTAGGCCTGATCTACAGTGGGGTGGGGGAGGATCAATCTAAGTTATGCAACTTCAGCTACGTGAATAATGTAGCTGAAGTCGACGTACTTAGATCGACTTACCGAGGTGTCTTCACTGCGGTGAGTCGACTGCTCCCTCTCCCCCATTGATTGCTGCCCGCCCATCCGGTGGGTAGTGTAGACATACCCATAGACTTCAGCAGGCCAGGATTTCACCTCTGGGGTCCATTTCCTTTGTATAGAAGAAAACATGAAGATGGTTGTAGGAGACTTGACAAATGAACAAGGGAGGCAAAGCACCACTGGATGAACAGGCAGCAGTAAGAGCAATGCAGTAAGTTACAAGAGTGGGTAAGTAAAGAGAGGGTAAGTCAGGGGTGGCCAACCTGTGGCTCCGGAGCCACATGTGGCTCTTCAGATGTTAATATGCAGCTCCTTGTATAGGCACCGACACGGGGGCTGGAACTACAGACGCCAACTTTCCAATGTGCCGGGGGGAAGCTCACTGCTCAACCCCTGGCTCTGCCACAGGCCCTACCCACACTCCACTCCTTCCCGACCCCCTCCCCAGAGTCTACCATGCCCTCACTCCCTCCCCCCCCCCCGCTCCAAGCCTCCTGCACACCACGAAACAGCTGATCGGGAGGTGCGGGGAGGGAGGGGGAGGCGCTGATCGGCGGGGCTGCCGGTGGGTGGGAGGCGCTGGGAGCGGGGTGGGGAGCTGATGTGGGGGGCTGCTAACGTATTACTATGGCTCTTTGGCAATGTACATTGGTAAATTCTGGCTCCTTCTCAGGTTCAGGTTGGCCACCCTTGGGCTAAGTGAAGGGCTATAAAGATGAGGAGCCAGATGCTTGTGTTGAGGTGATGGGGAAGGGCAGCCACTGTAGGGACTCAAAGGGCCTAAATGTTTCATATCTTAATTTCATGTGAACATGCTATAATTTCATTTATAAAGAAACTCTTATACTACTGCAAGGTACATTTGCACTGAATGCTTAGCCATAGGTTGTTTGCTGGAAATAAGAACTCTTTGCTGTCCGAAACATAAAATAACAGAACCATTTCAGAGGCTGGAAGGCTGGGGCATTAAAGTAATGAGGTGGCATTTAATGCAAACTACAAAGGTGAGCTTTGACATTTTGTTTGGCGATTGCTGTGTCAAAACTTGAAGAGCGGTTATGTATTTGAAGGAGTTTTTGAATGACTGAATAATCAATTCTTCAGTCAGTGCAGGTTAACAAAGGAAAATGAAGATGGAAGAGCCTGTGCAAAATAAACTGCATATTTTGTTGAAATATTTAACAGCTCACCAAAACTTTAAAAACAAGCATACAGGACATGCATTTGATTAAACTTGGGCAAAAATGTGCACGGCTTCCTTATTTTTTAATTGTGTCCATTTTAATTGACACCTCTAATTGTTATGTTTCCTGGGCAAATGTTGATTTTTTCTGATAAAGAAATAGAAATTATACTAGCTTCCTGTGGTATCTCTCAAGATTCTACAGGAACTTTTTTTTTTAAAGAAAATTGCTTTTTTAAATACAAACAAGTATTAAAATAAGATAGAGAACAGGGATCAGGAACGTAGGCCCATCACTGTAAATAAATAAATAAATAAAAGTGTTAGTTGGCACTTGAGCTAGTGTGCAATACCAGCTTCTGAGCCTTCACACAACAAAACAGATACTTCAGAAGCAAACCAAATACATGAACCAAGCAAGATAAAACAAGCAGAAAATTGGTGGCAGGCTAATAGTATGGCTGTGACCTCGATTAATGTGCTGTTAGTAAATGCTATATGATTAATGATGACAGATGAATCCTAATCCCAAGTCCTATCCTAAATTATACTTACTAAATGAATGTAGGGTTACCATACGTCCTCTTTTTCCCAGACATGTCCGGCTTTTCGGCAGTCAAACCCCCGTCCGGGGGGAATTGCCAAAAAGCCGAACATGTCCGGGAAAATGGCGGCTCTGCTCCTCCCCTGACTCTTCGGCTCTGTTTAAGAGCCAAGCTGCCCGAGCGCTGTGGGCTTCAGGCAGCCCCCTTGCCTCCGGACCCCAGCCGCCGGCCGGGCACTTCCCCTCCCGGGCTCCAGCTGTGCTGGGGAAGCGCCGGCCGGGGGCGCAGGGTCTGGGGGCTGCCCGGCAAACCGTGAAGCCGGTAGCACTGGGTCAGCCCTTTCCCCGTGGCTGGGAGGGAGGAGGGGGCGGAATTAGGGCGGGGAAGGGGCGGAGTTGGGGCGGGGCTAGGGTGGGGAAATGGGCGGGGCCAGGGCCCGTGGAGGGTCCTCTTTTTTTATTTATTAGATATGGTAACCCTAATGAATGGTTAGTGTCAACATTGCTAATGTCAGCTGTCAACAGTTGTAGTATCAGAGTTTGTTCCTGATGCTGTACTTCTGGAGTCCAAAGAAAGAGGAGCCATTACTGCTGCTCTCAAAAGACATCTGTCCTGCTTCTCCCGTTGCTGTGTCTGCATTCATTAAGATTGCCATTCTTGCTCTTTTACAATAGAGAAACCTCACATTTTTTATTTCTTCATTTCATCTGTGGGGGGGTAGAGACTCCCGAAACTCCTCCAGACACCACTTCGTTTCTAAAGTCCTTGCCCCTAGTTCGTAGCATAGGTGGGGTTCTCTGAGCCAGGGGTTCTCAACCTTTTTCTTTTTCTTTCCAAGGTGTGTTAGTCTCTAAGGTGCCACAGGCAAAAGAAAGGTCCTTTCCTTTCTCTCTCACTTATGAGAGAAAGGAATGCAAGTGAAAGCAAAGACAGGGAAAGGTGGCCTGTCTCTCAGATAGTCTCTCGGTTCAGCTCTCTGGGCTTGGTCCATCAGTGAGTCTGTGTCTATTCCCCTCCTGTTTGGTGTCCTGCTTTGCAGCTGGTCTGTGCAGTTTTGGGGCAGTGAGGCCTGCAACTGTTTCCCTCTTGGCTGATCCATCTTTGTGATGTAGCAGCCCTCCTCCTGTTCACCACCCCTTCCTGTGGCAGGTTTTCCCTTTTTATGCTCCCCCCAACCTCTAGGCAGAGCAAGCCTTTCAGGTGCGCCTCGTTAATGCTGAACAGGTCCAGAAGAGCTCGTTAGTCTCCTCTCCACCAGAATAAGGGTGTGTCCCTTCACATCATCCCTTCTTCCTTGCTCTTGGTCATCTCTCATCCTTCAAATATTTAAATATTGAAAAAGAGCTAAATTCCAAACACTAAGTGCTCTCCCATAACAAAATTAGAACTGGAATTACAACTGGCAAATGCAATTTAAATACATACTCCAAAATCAATTATTAGCTTTTGTTCGTCAATTTTCAATAACAATTTTACCCGAAGTGTTTGAGACATTTAAAATAAATGAGATAAACAGGGCAAAGCTTAAGTGAAGTTTGGATAATGGGGAGTTTTGGTTAAATAGAGCTGTGATGTATTTCTCCTGAGTTTTTCATTGACTTTTCCTCTTTCGATGCCAACACAACTATCCTCGCTTTTCCAATGCACAAAAATGTTGTTTATCACAAGGGTCAAGGACCAGTGACCCTACAAGTTAATGTAATGATTGATGTTCTTTTCTTCCCCCTTGTGAATTGTGATCCATTGTTTTCCTTGTCAGTGAGCAAGCAGCTGGAGTTTTTGTTTTGTGTTTTTTGCTGCTGAAAAACTTCTTGCCATGAAATGGCACTGAATGTATTTGTGTGGCTCTATTTAAAGCACTTCGAAAGGTTATGAAATCTCTCAGCAGTGTGTTTTCTCCTTGAGGATAAAGACCATTCATTCTCCACTTCACTTTAGCTAAAACATGTTTAACTTTTTAACACTGAGGGTGATTAACCATTCGAACAAACTACCAAAGGAAGTAGTGGATTCTCCATCTCTTGGAAGACTTCAAATCAAGACTTGGATGCCTTTCTGGAAGCTATGCATTAGCCAAACACAAGTTACTGGGCTCAGTAGAGGGGTAACTGGGTGAAATTCTGTGGCCTGTCATACGGGAGGTCAGCCTAGATGATCTAATGGTCCCTTCTGGCCTTAAACTGTATGACTTAATCTGTGATCTAAGCAAAGGTCAAATCAGTGGTGGTACTTACATTTGACTCTTGTTCATTTTACAGGTACTACAGTGCAACCATTTTGCAGATGTCGGGGGTTCAAGATGACAGTCTTGCAATCTGGCTGGCTGCAGTGACAGCATTTACAAACTTCCTTTTCACACTATTGGGAGTCTGGCTTGTTGAAAAAGTGGGCCGCCGGAAACTTACGCTTGGTAGCCTAACAGGTGAGAGATTACTTGGGGAATACTGTTAGATTCTAATGAAGGTGAACAAAATGAAAATAAGGTTCTGAATTCTACTTTGATCAACACGATCTTCTAAAGAAAAGTAAAATAAATGACTGACTATTTTGCCCACACACACACACACACAGATAAAATGTGTGTGTGTGTTTAAGTACATTAAACTGAAGTACACAGGGCCCTTTAAGAATGAAAACAATGTGCAGCGAGGCACTAAGAACGAAAGCAATTTTTAAATTTATCATAAGGAGTATATTTGTTCAGCTGCAATTTCTGCTTCAGGGCACAGTTGACAATAATAGGTATACCCCTTTAAGACTTTAATTTACGAGCAATCAAATGTGTCTAACTTCACAGCTGGTTAGTTTTTAAATATATAATATGGCATATGTAATTTTTAGCAACTAAAGTGAATTTGTAATGTTTTGTCAGAAATTATTACGGAAAGCAAAAAGACATATTGTTGCTGTGTTCTTTTAAAAAGAGAAGAATGCTGTTCTGTTCATTGCCCCTCCAAATATGAAATAGTAAAAGCATTATAGTTAATGGTTTAACATGAAGTGGCTAATCCAACATAGTAACATGAGAAACTAAAGTGTAAAATTTTGAAAGCCTTATGAATTTTAGCCATTAGCTAAGCATTCTTGTATAATGGCATTAACATCACACTTAAACTCAATCAAAACAGTCACTTCTAGGAAGGTGATATAGGCAGAGCTAGTAGCACTGTCTATAGTTAATGTAGCCCAGCAGTTCTCATTATAAGACCTTGTTTTCATTTGCTTATATCTTTACCTGACTGTTTGGCCGGAAATTTTCCATGCCAAGTTTCTGCCTGAGGTTGAGTGGTCTGGTTTTGTTTTGGAAAGTTTCAACTAAAAGAGTTCTGCCATTTCAGAGAACGAGATTAGGGAAACATACTTTGTTTTGTCCATTTAAAAAAAATTGTATAACTGTGTAGTTGAGAAGTTCTCCTACCTCCATTGTTGGCCCAGAAACTTGACATTTGACAGTGGTGGTCTCTGTATGGGGGATCTAAACATCTCAAGAGTAAAATAACTTACTAGTTCGTTTAAAAACTTATTTGCCAGAGTGGAACACCAATATATTTGGACAAAATTCTCAACTAATAGCACCTAAGCTGCATCGGGGGGGGGTTCGCCTTCCTCTGGAGCATGGGGCACGGGTCACTTGCTGGAAGATTCTCTGCACCTTGAAGTCTTCAAACCATGATTTAAGGACTTCAATGGCTCAGACATAGGTTTGATAGAGGAGTGGGTGGGTGAGATTCTGTGGCCTGCATTGTGCAGGAGGTCAGACTAGTTGATCATAATGGTCCCTTCTGACCTTAAAGTCTATGATTCTGTGATCTGCAAAATTTGTCCTCATTCATGTTGCCTACAAAACATGCATTTGTGTGTGGTAACTGAGCGTGTTGGTATGCACAGTTAACCAATTTGTACATTAAAACATGTAATTTTGAGCAAATTTGGTATGTTCAACTTACAATAGGTACCCACATTTAAAATAATGCCTTTTAAGTGCAGATTTTGACAACTTGAATCTTCTTATACTTGATTCAACAGCAGAAGGGTTGAAACTTGACAGAGATAATTTGGATAAAAGAGAGCAATCACCGTTAACCATCTACCAACTGAGGTCAGAGCCAGACAGTTACATGACGTTATTTGCATCAATAGTATATAGTAACTTAGCTGCTCCCCACAGCAGGCAATTTAATGACATTGCAAGAGACAAAATGGTATGGGATAGCAGGGTACATTTCTTGCATTCTTGTGATCTTTAGTATTGTGTAAAAACCTGTATGAGCATAATTGAATACAGCAATGCTGAGAAAGTACTTCTTCAACTTTAGCTCAAGCAGATAAGTTTAAGTTTAAAATTGTAAATGCATGGGGAATGGTCTCCATGTTAGCAACCCTCTGTTGCAATCACTAGTTAATGTTGAATGACTCACTCACGTCTCTGCAACCTGCATCTTTTATTTTTCCATATCTCTCGACACATGGCTTATGCATCTGATCATGCTCCCTAGACGTGAAACTGATTTATCAAATCCACCTTTATTCTTTGGATTGAGTTGCTGATAGCTTTCATGCTGTTGACCTTTGTTTAGATTTCCTAGCAGATTAAAGCACACATCAAAATAATATGCACTTCATTGCTTGTGACTGAATTCAGACCAGGCCACTCATTTAGTCCCCAAACTGTTTACTGTATATCACTCTTACAGCAATATATAAGGTTGTGTGAATTTGTCTAGCTCTGTCATCTCATGCTATTTACTCAGTTGATAGTCATTCTTTTTCTGTGTGGTCTATCAAATGTTATAATGGGGCATGAACAAAAGCAGAACAAAGCAGAATTGTATTACTTTATTATTACTCCCAAAATACTTTAAGCCTATTTCTTGCAAAAACGCAATACTAATCTTGTACTCTGTGTTAGGCATAGTGTATTTTTCAGTGTCTCAGTGCCAGAATTACAAACTGATCCTTTTGGGTCCTGACCATCAGGCTTTAGTCACTGCCTCTAGAATTTTTGGGCCCTTTGTTACCAGGCCCTCTGACTAGTATATTCAAAGATCAATGATTTGAAAATGTTCATGCAAACATCTCTCACAAAGCAGTTTAGTAAAAGAGCAGATGGCCACTGTAGTAAAACCAGGAAGAATACTGTAAGGAGTGTTTGGTTTTATGGTACTTAGATGCAGAACAGAATTAGTTTGTAAAGATGTCCTTTTCTAGGTCCCTTCTCTGTACTGGGTTGCCTTCTTTCAGTCATTTTAATTAGTGTTGTGTTTCTTTTAGTCATCTTTATACTGTGGCCTTTAAAAAAAGGAAAAATGCAATACTGACTCCCCTCGAGCTGAGACTGAGATCACATACCATCTCGAAATACTATTTAGAGCTTTTCGTGTGGTGCTTGGCTTTTAGGATTTGGTCAGGGGAGGCAGTGTTTTGTTTGTAAGTCACATATTCTATGATGATTTCATTCTTGCATATCTGTTATTATTGTATTTTAATTGTCTGTGCAGCATACAGAGCATCTTAGCAGGAGGGATGCTTAATAAATAAACATTAGGTCCTATGTTGCTCTTTAGATCCTCTGGTGGGCAGTGTTTCAAATAGTTGGTTTTGTTATGTTTGTAAGTGTGCATTTTTCACTCTGCTACTTTGAACTGCCTTTCAAGGGAATTGGAAAATCTTGAACTCTAAACCTGGTTACAACTGGTGCTGCCTCTGTGGGTAACCTCTCTGCTGTCACCTCTCAATATGTAAAATGAGGACAGTACTCACTGGCTGCATGGATATATGAAAGCTAAGCGCAAGAAAAATTTGAAAACTGCGCACAAATGTATGAAGTTATGAAAAGCACTGTATAAGTCATAAGTATTATTTCTAAACATTACATAGGTGTAACAATACGCACATTAAGTACTGTCTTGCGGTAATGCCTTGACATTTATTGGACTAGCTATGGACTTTTTCCATTCTCTGCCAATGTTCTGTAAAGGAGTGTTTACCATTTGAAGCTTGGCATCTTGACTAGTTTCAAAGAGCTGGCAACATTTTAAAAAAATCCTACCATGCTGATAGATCGCTGAAAAGTTACGAAAGTTACCATAGGCTTCTTTCTGCCAAAAAAGGGGAGAAGACAGACAGAATTTTAACATGGTTGGCTGCTGACTCCACTTAGTTTCTAACTTCTGCTATATCTTGATGCCAGTTGTCTTTCTTTCCTTTGTTCTGTATCTTCAAAGGCTGTTCATTACATGTAAAATGTGGAGAGATTTTGAAGGGTGTAATCTCTGTTTTAGTTTTTTTCGCAGGCTTTGGCAGTCTGAAGACACACTGTATTTGTACATATGACAACATTTTAGCTTTATGTAATAGAGAGGACATTAAATATCTTCAGAATACTTACAGTTTTTTAGCCTCAATTAATGATTGGTTTGTGTTGTTAGCCAAAGGAAAACTTTCCACAGAATGAAATGCTATATAATGCCTATATGCCAAATCTGAATATTTTCCTCCTCCTTTGGACAAGGGGTTAAGGGATGAAGGAAGATGTTTCCTTATTAGGTCAACCTCTCAAAAGATGAACAAAGCATATTTAAAATGAATATAAATTTGATGATAGTTCTCCATGTGAAACATGTCTCACAATATTTGATGTTCTGGCTTATAGCATTTGGAAAGTACATTAAATCCAGGATGAAATCCAGCACGCCCAGAGGACTGTCGCCGTTGATGTAAATAGTCATAGTAGCATCACAAAGCCAAATATAGAATACATTGAAAATCCACATTTTTATTTTGATGATGATAATTTCCCCAGAGATTTAGGCTTCCTGATTTGGCTTAAGCTTTTGGCATCAGAAAGAGATCTATCAGCATAAGTAAACTGCCTGTGTGTGCTCAAAAAAACACCCAATTAATGCACACACGTTCATGTTGGCAACGTTGCTGGCAAATGCTGGTGCATGGTATTATAATACTAGAATAATATAATTATTAATACAATACATCAAACAAACACTCTTTGCTACACAGGACATTAGGAGAAGTAGTGGTAGTATTATTTTTCATATTTTGTAAATTGGTTTTCTCAAGAAAACCTATGTTTTTCTTAAAAAACATAAGAACCATATTATGGGTAGTTCTTTAAAGAATATCTGACTAAGTTTTTAATGCGTAAGCCAGGCACACACAAGTGTGTGTGAGTTTTTGAAAGTGTGAGTTGTGCTCTTCTTCTTAGATACAATTACATTCTGCCCACAATACCTTTGTTCCCCATGCCGACTGAACTGGGTAAAGTACTTTTCACTTGTCCTGAACTGTCACATAGTGTTGTTGTGCACGTCTAAACTTCTGCTGCATTCCACTTGTATGGTAGTGAAGTGGTTTGTGAATCTATCCCCATATGTTACAGAAGGACTTATTGTCTCTGCATAAATAAGGTCAAAGCTAGCTTCATATTATAAGTACTTTGTCGGATCCTTGGGTGAAGGTGTTAGATAAATGTGTAGTACGGCATACTGCATTACACATATAGACATATACAGATATTTTCTGTGTGTGAAATGTATGCATAGTTAAATAAAGGAATATATGAGGGTGTGGTATAGTATAAAGATTTTATCGGCATGAATTTGGGATAGTCACATTCCTCATGACTGGTGAAGCCATACGTGAGTTTTACAGACAGTTCCAAATTAGCTTTCAATAAAACCATCATGTGTGCCACCTATTTTAGAAAAAAAAAAAAGCTGTAGGAGTGGCTTGGGGAGGTATTTTTTAATTATAGGAACTAATTTTTGTATCCCTTCATCCTGACACCAAAGTCCCTTTGTCACCATTAGTAGAACTATACGGGATTCAGAGGGAGCCATAAAACCCTCCAAAATTACCTTTAATTGCTTTTCTGTACCTAAAGATGTCACATTTTTAAGTTCTAATATCTGTGGCCTTTCCAGGACTAAAAATGAGTGCTGAGTTCTACTGGGAAGTTGAAAATCATGATCTCCCCTTTCCAATAGCATCAAGCTCTGCAGGGCTGCAAGATATCAGGCTTTGAAGTCACACTATTTTTATTTGGAGAAAAGCTTTAACTGGTGTAGGGTTGATTCTTGTGCATCCTGAGCCTTGAACAGGTGAAATCTGGAGGAGGAAAATCATTTTTTTCTGGTGGATTGATATTAAAAGTCTATTTAAAGTTGCTTAGGCTTTTAGAATTAGTCTTAGCAAGATGGATTATTGGGAAAAGGGCAGGAGTGCTGGTCAAAAGTGAATGATATCTTCATTCATCAAATGACTGAAGTTTATCATATTTCTTTGTAACTTATCACGATTATCAACTTCATATATGTAGTATGTAGAAAAATATGTATCTAAACACAAACATAATATAAAATATGATATCTGGATATACAGTGATTGAACTTACTAGAAGTAGATAACACAAGATATAGTACACAGTATGGTATTCTTCCCCAGTAGCAAAATAACCTATGTTAATTATTAGGACAAAGGTGAAGGCTGAGCAAGATGTTATCAGTTTATATGGTCTAAAGTTTTGTGCCAGGAATGAACTATTTTTAATACATTGCATGTATCTTTTTTGCCTATGTCCTCCCCTTTTTGGTGTTACACATTGTGACAATAGATTCACAGAAAATTCAGGGGGCTCGAGTGGATTGGTAGAAAGAGGTTGATTCATAACAGTGGGTTTATATTTTTGGTAGCATTTCTACAAACTGAGCTCTGTGAAAAAAATCAAATTTATTTTCTTGTTTCTATGTAACTAGGAATATTGTGCTGAAAAAGTGTGTTGCTATTGTCCTTCTTCCAGGTAGGTCTGGATGTCTGGGAGCTAGGGACATATTGTGATTTACAAGCCACTGTTTAACTCTGCTTTTTGAACATTATTTCTGTTACTTAAGGGAATACGAGTTAATTCATACAGTCTTCAACTCTGTGTTTAAAAAAACCAAACAACTGAGTAATTTAGTATCTGGATAATAAATCAGAAGCTGTTGAATTTAACACCGATCCCAACCCCAAAAAATTATTTTTTTCTCAAGATCCTTATAGAACAGATTAGCATAGTGGGGAAATACTGTGCTAAGCTCATATAAATTGAGTGTCTTCTTTTTTCCAGACCTAGGTCTATGCAGCAAAGAATTATTTTGCGTATTTTGAAGTAAAATCTTTTTTATTTTTGTATTTTAGGTACTACTGTAGCACTCATTATCCTAGCTTTGGGATTTTTGCTGTCAGCTCAGGTCTCACCTCGAGTCACTCTTAACCCAACAGATCCTTCAGGTCAAAATTCTACTTGCACAAATTACAGGTGAGATTTCATGATCATTTGTTTTTTAAATGTCTTCTGCAAGATTTTCCCCAATTTCTCAAGTGTTGCAACCCTATTAAAACACATAATTTTAATATTCAGTGAGTGCAAGGCTCTGAATAATTTTTTTTAATGTAAGCAGGGAATGCGCTTGCTGTTACTAGTCTGTTCATAGACGTTACACTGCACCACACTTGTGAGCTCTCCCAGAGAACATTTGTGCCCCTTGCCCTTTATTTTACTGTTTTTTAAAAAAAAGGGTTCTGTCTTTTCAAATAGTGATAATTACAGACCCATTAATGATTAATTCAAAACAGACACGATCATGTTAACCTTTATCGATGGTAAATTGAACTTGCACTTTCATAGATAGCTCGCGTCCAGTCTTTGTTTCAAAAGATGAGTCATTTATTTAGAATGTTTTTCTAAAAAATATTCTAGAATTTTCTGTATTTTGAGTTTTTGTTCACTTTTTTCTCCCCTAGTAAATAAAATATCGAAACTGGTAAGATAGCAAAAATTGTGTCTTTCTGCATACCAGAATTTAGTAAAGACTAAGCATCTTCTGACTGGACTTACCTATTGATATGCACAGGATAACAATCTATAGCTAGTCTTTATCCCTTTGGAGACTGCAGTCTTGTATATAAGCTCTTCAGCATTCATTTGGCTGGCAGGCTGGAAAATGTCAGTGTCCCATTGAGAAAAGACTAGTTAAATGTGACTGAGCTCAAATGCTATAAAGGCTGAAACAATTCTTGTTCCAATCCAGAATCTTTGCTTGACAAGTTAAGACTGCAGTACAAATGAGTCTTGTGTTTATTCTAGAAATGAGTTAATTGAATAATTTCTCAAACACAGTAACTATCCATGCAATTCAGTGTGCAGAATATTTGGGCACTAATATTCAGCTGTCTGTCCCTGCTATTCTGTCTCAGCAGCAGAACACAGACTGATCAATTATTTTCTCCAGCCTCTGTTTGAATTCTAATAAACTAACAATGGATAACTAACTCCTAAGAGATATAGGAAGATTGTGGTGATGAGGACCTTCCTAGTGGGACCCTGGGAATGGGAGGGGCAGGTCTAATTTCCCCAAAGATGTCAGAAGAGGTGGCAAGAAGTACATTTGGCTGCTCTTCATACCCTAGAAGTGAGTCTGGGGAGAGGAACCTCATAGCATCATGGGGAGTAGGTAGGGTTTGGGCATCTTTGAGAGAAAGTGTAGAACAGATGGTGATAATCAACTTGAATTCAGGGCTTTGGATACCATCCATATGTTAGATCCCTGAATGCAAATATCATCCCTTTATGTGTTCACTACCTCAGCAAAGAGTACATATACTACTTTGCCTGGTTTTGATGGTTACCCATCCTCTTTCTCACATGGATCTAGTTAAGAGATAGAAAAAAAGAGTCTCCAAAAAAAAAATGGTCACTTTGCAGGGTGTGGAAGGAGATTAACAGTGAGATGCCTCAAGTATCCATACTAGAACCTGTGCAGTCAGATCTATGTTTGTCATTTGGAAGAGAGGTGAACGGTAAGTGGTGCAACATTTGCAGATGACAAAATTATTTAGGTTAGTCACATCTCAAGACTGTGAGGTCCTTCAAAAGAACCTAACAAAGCAAAGTGATTTTCAACCTAATGCCAGATGAAATTTGATGCAGGCACATTCCAGATCATTCCCATTTGGAAGAATAATTTGAATTACTTGTACACATTGTTGATTTTGTAATTAACTGTAACTGCTATTATTGTGGACATCTCAATGTGCAGTTGTGGGCAAAAAAGGCAAACAAGATGTTAGACTATTAAGAAAGGGATGCCATTATATGAATCAATGGAATGCTTTCATCAGAATCTTTCAAAAAGTGGATATTAATAGAAGAGGTCTAGAGAAGATGGAAAAAAAGGATTAGAAGTAATGAAAAACATCCATATGCGGAGAGATTGAAAAGACTAGAACTGTCTTTGCATAAAGATAATAGTGAACATGTTAGAGGTATATGAAATAGTGACTGGAATAAGAGAGAAGGTCTCGTGCTCCTATTTGTATTCTTATAGCACAATTACAAGGAGACACACAATTAAACTAAAGACAACAAAGTTAAAACTAAAAAACGGAAATGGTTTTCTACACAACACATACTTAACTTGTGGGCCTCAGTGCCAATAATTTAGCAGAATTCAAAACAGGATTAGACATTTGTACGAATAACCAGAATGTCTACACTTATATAGAATAAAATTGTATGTGGGATATCAATCCTCTTGACTCAAGTCATCAGAATACCACTAACTTCCTGAGATTAGAAAATCTTCCCTCATAAGCATGTTATACATAACTGTGAATTTGGGTGTGGGGGTGAGTCTTACTTCCTTCTCTGAAGTATCTGATATCTGCCATTGTCACTCACAGTACCATGAAACCTCAGAGTTCCTGGCTCCTCCAACGAAGACAATAGAAATAAAAAATTAACGTTTTTAGTGAGTTTTCAAGTGAAGAAAAAGCAATTAAAAAAAAATTTGGTCTGCAGTGGAGTCCCTGGAGGAGTTCAGCTCCAATCTGTCTCTGTTCCAAATCTTTTAATCCACAAGTACAGAATCCAGGAGAACAGCTTCTATCTATTCTATGAAGTCTATTCCTATAATAGACTTCATACATAGACTTCACACTTGGTTCTACTCTGAAAAGTGGCTGTGTTAAAATGGCACCTTGTTACTGAGTAGCTTTGCTTCCTGTGTATTCAGAGTCCTATCACAGGACTTCACTGGTTAAAATAAGTTTTAACTGCCTCCGCTCCTATTAGAAATGCAGAGCAGAAGAGGGAACTGGACTCTATTCTTTCCCAATTAAGAACATAAGAATGGCCATACTGGGTCAGACCAAATGGTCCTTCCAGCCCAGTATCCTTCCAACAATGGCTGGTGCTAGGTTCTTCAGAGGGAATGAACAGAACAGGGCAATTATCAAGTGATTCATGCCCTGTCGTCCAGTCCCAGCTTCTGGCAGTGAAAGGTTTAGGGACATGCAGACCATGGAGTTACATCCCTGACTGCCTTGGCTAATAGATGGAGGATCCCTGCAGGACAGCTGCATCAGTATCTCTCATTGATTAGACACCTCATAAGTAATAAGGGGCTCTTAATAGGTGTTTCAAAAGCAAAAAATAACAGGACTTCAGGAAGGGTGCCAGCCATTAATGGAACAGCCTTGTAGCCACACTGGAGAACTCAGAGGCACTTTAAAAAATGCCCTCAGTTAATGGCCACGCATGCAGGTATTGAAGCTAACCATACCCCACCTAATGTTGACATAGAGTTGGCCTATGAGGCAAACATCCAACTGTGGGTACATCTACACTGCCAAAAAAAACCTGCAGCAGCAAGTCTCAGAGCCCAGGTCAACTGACTCAGGCTCGCGGGGCTGGTGTTGTGAGGCTCAAAATAGCAGCGTAGAGATTCCCGCACATGTTGGAGCCTGGGCTCTGAGACCTATCCCCCTCACCAGACGTCAGAGCGCAGGCTGGTGGAAAGTCGACACTGATATTTTTAGCCTCGTAACAAGAGTCTGAGTCAGTTGGCTCAGGCTCTGAGACTCATTGCTGTGGGATTGTGGGTTTTTTTGTTTTGTTTTTGTTTTGCAGGGTAGATGTACCGTAAGTGTTGGAAGTAAGATGCATGTTGGTGTGTGGGTGTGTTTCTGATACAGTCTATAAAATAGTAAGTTGAACAAACTGTCTTATCCACATATTCTGCTGGGAAACAAAACTTCCTTAGCACTGTACAGATTATGAATATTTTTTTTTTACGTTTGCACGTCTGTTTTGTAGGATTGAGTGTGGTGTCTATAAAAGAAACCTAAATACTACTGCACATGTCCCATTTGTCTGCTGATTGGTAAGAGCTGTATTCCCCAGCTCATCTTTTACTGATATTGCTAGGATAAGATTGAAGGTAGAACAGACTTAACCAATAAAAAACCCACAATTGCTTTCCTGACTGAAAAGTAATTTCCATGTGTGGCTGTTTTCTCTAAGGTAGCTTGGGGACAGGTGTCACCCCATAGAAGAGCTGTGCCACACTCACTGATACTTGCATTTGGTTTAAGAACAGAAAATGTCACAATCGGTAACTACAAAAATAATAAAGGAGCAAAGGGATTGAACTGCTTTGGAGTGTAAATCAGTGCGGAATTTGACCTTAGTCCTTATTTACAAGGATATGGTGGAAATGACATTCATATAAACTCTGACAGGCTGCATTGTCCTTTAAATTCGACTTTCTAGTCATAGATGGAGCTGGGCCAGGGTCATATTGGAAAAAATAAAAATTGTAGGTTGCCTCTCAAGCTCCTTCCTCAAATTCAAGTTGGCTCACAAACCGGGCTTCATTCAAATAAGATGTCTAAAGAAAATGTCATTTACAGATCATCTCTCTTCCTACAATGATGCATTGCTCAGTAGCAAAATCAATATAGACTGATAGGACTGGAAGGACGAGAGGTCTTCTAGTCCAGTCCCCTGCACTCAGAGCAAGACTAAATATTATCTAGACCATCCCTGACAGGTGATTATCTAACTTGCTCTTAAAAATCTCCAATGATGACTATTCCACAGTCTCCTTAGGCAATTTATTCCAGTGCTTAACCACCCTTCCAGTAAGGAATTTTTTCTAATGTCCAACCTAAACCTCCCTTACTGCAATTTAAGACCATTGCTTCTTGTCCTATCCTCAGAGGCTAAAGAGAACAATTTTTCTCCCTCCTCCTTATAACAACCTTTTATGTACTTAAAAACTGTTGTCATGTTCCTCATTAGTCTCTTCTCCAGACTAAACAAACCCAATGTTTTCAGTCTTCCCTCATAGGTCATGTTTTCTAGACCTTTAATCATTTTTGTTGCTCTCCTCTGGACTTTTTCACGTTTGTCCACATTTTTCCTGAAAGGTGGCACCCAGAACTGAACGCGGTACTCCAGTTGAGGCTGTATCAGTG